AACCCGCATCCAAGACTACATAGGCGGCCAATCCGCCGCCGACTCGCTCAAATACACTAACCTCGCCAATGCCCGCCTAGCTCAACGAATTGCGCTGGAAGAGAAGATGCAACAGGCTGGGGAGAAGCCGAACAGGAGGGATACCTTTCATTATCTCCTGAATAGCAAGGACCCGGCAACGGGTAAGGGTCTAACGAGGGAGGAGTTGCAAGCAGACAGCGCGCTCGTCATCGCCGCGGGCGCGGACGGCGTTGGGCTCACCCTCTCCGCAACGGTCTTCTATCTCATTCGCAATCCGGCCGTCCTCTCCAAACTCACCACTGAGATCTGCCAGGCGTTCGCGAGTCTGGCCGAGATTCAGAATCCAAAACTAAACAGCCTGACTTATCTATCAGCTTGCATAGACGAGACCCTTCGTCTCTGCCCGCCGAAAGCAAGTACCGTACCCCGCCAAGTGTTATCTGGAGGCATGGAAATCGACGGTCATTATATCGCTGCGGGGGTGGATGTAGGAACGCCCGTCTACGTCCTCCATCACAACGAAGAGCATTTCCCGCAGCCGTGGTCATACAAACCGGAACGCTGGATCGTAGCGGACCCTGACGGCGAGACCGTAGCAGCTGGAGAAGAGGCGGAAGGCGTGACGCGCGAAAGCGTCCTCCAAGCCCGCGCGGCGCTCTGCCCGTTCCTGATCGGGCCGATGAACTGCATCGGGAAGAACATGGCGTATTTCGCGGTCAAGGTTAGTCTGGCGCAGTTGCTTTGGAGGTATGATATCAGAGCTTCACGAGAAGGGGAGGGAATCGGTAGGAGTGGAGGTGGAGCGAAGGATCTGGAGTGGGGGAGGCAAAGGGAGGATGAATATCAGATCACGGATTACATTACGGGCTTCAGGGATGGGCCGATTGTGCAGCTCAGGGCCAGGGCGAGGGGCTGAGGTTGAGGTTGAAGCCCACACTGATGCTTTTGAGAGAGAGTAGCTCAGGAGGTGTGATAGATAGGGGTCAGTGGGGGGATTTTCAGATATGGGGTTGGTATGTGTCTTGTAATTTTCTCCTGCTGGTTTAATCATCACCATCTTAGTGAAAAAGACGTGCTGGAGTCCTCCTAGCTGCTATCTGGGTTACAACCAGTCCAGGATTCGTGTGGTCCAGCAGAGCCAGACAGATCCTTTTATCTAGTTACCTCCACAGAGACAGAGAGAGAACTTATTCCGAGCTGGTTTATCGTTCCCTTTCACTTTCTCCATCCTTTCTTCCCTTGGGCATTGCCGAGCGTAGCACTTGGGGGACCCAACAGAGGGTGGTTGGCCCAGGCTACTACTAGTAGTATCGAAAAGTCAAGCTGATGCTTGACCAGCGAATCTTGGCTCGGATTGCACAGCGTTTGCCCCCAATCTTACTACGATAGCGACATCAGGGGGCCTTTTATAATGAGTTGATAGGGGGGAAGAAGCCCTCGTAGTATTGATTAGGGGAAACTCCGAACCTGCATGTAGGAAATGGATTTCCGATCTAGGGAATTTCGATGACGGAGCCGGTTGATTCTATGCAGGGAGTTTTCCCTCGTCGAATATCTAGGACTGACATAGAATGAGAAGGTGGCTCTGGACGAGGATGTGTAGATTCGTTGCTTCACTATCTCACTCTCTCTCTCTCTTTCTCTCCTTGTCGCAATTAGCTCCCCAGTCATTTTGCCAAATAGGGTGGTAACGGTAGCCTTCAGCTCGCCAGATAGCCAGGTCGCCGTCTCCAGTACACGATCCGCCCCGGCCCATGCTCTCTATCTCACACCTAGCTTTTCACCAAACCCTACACTCAACCGCCCTTCTCAACCCTGAACGTCAAACTCACTCTCCTCCACCCCTCCCCTCCCCACTCCCTCCTCTCCTTCTCCTTCTTCCTTCCCCCCACAATCTCATGCTGCCACATATACCTCGCCTCCGCCTTCAACACCAACAGACTCCCACTCGGCAACCACACATCGACTTTCCTCCCCGTGCGCGGCGCCTGCATCGCCCTGAACGAGCGCACAGACCCATCATGCGGAGCGGAGAGTTCGTGGAAGCGCATGAGATCGCCACTGCCGAGGGTGAGGGAGCAGACGGGTTCGCCGAAGCGGAAATTCTCGACGTGCGCGGAGATGGAGTGCGGAGGGCAGTATTCGTTGCTTGAATCTGACCATCAGCCCAGCTAGAGAAGAATGGATGTTGAGGGGAAAGGGGTGGTGGGTTGAGGTTTGGGTTGGGGACCTTACACGATGCAGAATCTGGGTGGGAATCCAGCTGGATAGAGATCTGTTGCTATCATTCTATCGATGACCCAGCGCAAGCTATTCGGGATGGGCTGCGCGGTAATGATTCTCTTCGAGATTGCCGCTCGCTCAGCGGCACTGGCTGTCTTCGGAGGCATGAGGCAATAGGTTCCGCCATAGTGGATTGTGCGGCGGGAGAGGTCGGTGCGCCAGGTTTCGGCCTCGAGGAAGGAGAGGAGCGTGGCTTGTTCGTCGGTTGTCACGAAGTCGGGGATTATGGAGAGACCAAGAGGAAGGTTAGGGGGGGTGGTGGTGGTGGCGGTGCTGATGGGGCATTTTGTTGCATGGAGGGTTCGCTTGGAAGCCGATTGGCTTGGAGATTGGGATTGGAAGTATTCGTGGAGGGTTTTACGCTTTAGTGAAGGCGCGGTCATACAAGAGGGTGTCGCTGGAAGAATTGTAGGAGGTCTTGTAGGGTACAATACTTCGTGGAGTCGTCTTCAGCTATTTACCCGCACCAGCCGCCTGCTCCGATGTGCCGGAAGCGGAAGAAGCGGAATACAAAACTCTAAACAGAAGAAGAGAGATGATCCTTTGAGCTACAGCGGTGCAGTAAGGCAGGGAGACCCGTATCTCAATAGAAATGATGACGAATTCGATAAGTAGTAGCTGCTTACTGAGAGGGGAAGGTGGTTCATTGCTCAAGGTGCTGTCTTGTGTCCAACTAAAGTTGCTTTTGTTTGACAATAAGTACATATATGTGCTACGTAACTTGAGCATGGTCCGACTAGAATTACCATCGCATCTCTCTTCACCATTCCCCTGCATGTGCGGTTGTATCAGTTTTCTCTCCACTATGCCCTAAGGACAGCAAAATTGCACATGAGGCATGGCTAAAAAAACATGGATTCTGTTTCGCTTCCGCTGCACAAAAACGGTTGTCATGTTCAGGTACCAGCGATCTGTCCGGGATCAAGCACTCAGTTCTTCCCTTGAGCCTTTTGACTTCTGATTTCCTTGTCGTCAATTCTTCTCGTTCCAAACCTTACAGGCGGGTGACGATTCTCGTCCATGAGAACCAAATCATGTCTACACCTGGTTTCGATCTGTCGAAGCTCCCTGCAGCGCCACCGCCAGCAGGCGTGGTCCCAAACTTCAACAACCCTTATACACGCTGACCGTTGTTTGTCGACCTACGTGCAGTTGCTCTTGGGTTCATGTACCTGTTTGTGGCAGCACGATTTTACAGCAAACTCAGCATACATCCCAGAGTGACTCGGGACGATTGTAAGTAGGCGAATGCTGCCTCGCCGTCGGCGAGGCGATATACGTGCTCATGATATCACTAGTGACCTGTGTCCTTGCGGCGGTGAGACTCGGTTTCCGCCTTTGAGCTCTGTATCCAGCGGCGGGCGTCCTACTAACAAGGTCGGTTGACTACCAGCTTGGAACCACTGTAATGTTCGTTGGCGCGGTCTTCGGTTCGTCATATGCATAACAGATATACCACCCTTGACGAAATCGATGCTGACCCATTTTTCCAGCGGGGAAAGCCGGCGCCGGAAGACACCAATGGAATTTGCCCGCCAGCAAGGTGGCTAAGGACTCTTTCCTCATAGTGAGCTGGGATGAATATATTCCTTTCAAATGCTAATCAGCTAACTAGCCATTATACATTCTGCTCAACTTGGTCCCTTTGACTTCCCTTTTCGCTAAACTCTCCTTCTACATCTTCTACCTGCAGGTTTTTGATGTGAAGCCTACGTTGAAGTGATTTATCTACCTGGGTGCAATGGTCACCACAGTCTTCTATTTCGCAACAACCGTTGCGACTTTCGTTCTATCAACACCTGCTCCCTGGCGCCCCTTTTATTGGCAGTTTATGACCACCGCACGCAAGTTTTTCAAACTGGCGTTGATGATTGGATACTTCAATATTGCTAGTGACTTGTACATCCTTCTGCTGCCCATCTCGGGAGTAATCAGGCTGCAGCTTTCGATAAGCCGGAAGGTCGGAGTGATACCCAGTTTCATGACAGGCTCATTGTAAGACGTAGTGCCAATAAACCAGAAACATGGAGACTAATATGCACGCAGAGCCTGTATAGCCAGCTCCGTCGCTCTCTTCTATCGCTACCGCATGTCTGATTCGGGGGACTCTACCTGGAACCTGCTGAGTGCTACATACACAACGTAGGTCCCGAACCAAATTGGAGCCCAATCCAGACAAGTGAGAGACAGAACATTGTCTGACTTTCTTTCTTGCTCAGCCAGGTGTAATTGACTATTGGCATCGCATGTTCATGTATGCCTGCCTGTGCAAAATTGGTCCGCCACCACCTACCACAATTCTCCAGGCTCAAATCCTACATGAGCTCTCGAGTACGCGTTTTCTCCTTCCGCCACGGAAGCAGCTCCCAAGGCTCGCTTGGGAATAGGCGCTTCTTCAGCCTTGGCCCAAGCAAGAGCTTCCTCGACCATCAGCAACCAGGTCTCGATGGTGAAGAAGTCGTCACGATGGGGAAGCTGCCGAAGATCCACAAGGGAATGCATCATGTGAGGACAGCTCGGTCCTTTATACGGGGTGGTAGGAAGCACCACACAACTATTACTACGCTGGACGAAGAAGAGGATGGCATCTACTACCATCGCGACTTCCAGCGACCGGTCAACAAGGCATGAACGCTATCGCTGACAAGTAGGGAGTGGGCAATCAACGCCGGATAAGTAATGTTTTCTCCCCACCACAATGTATATTGAATACTATACTTGGAAACCAATTTACACGTTATATATACAGTATACGACCAATGGAAAGATTACATGTGTTCCACTGCGGCCTAGTCATTACGGTGCTGTCAAACCCCATCTCGGTGCGGAATATCAAAGCCGAGTACCAACGTACCTTTCCGGACCCCAGCTGACCGCACCCATTAATCGACAACGCCGAAGGGCTCTATGCGTTCTGCATCTATTCCTTAAACGAAAGATCCTGCTGGCTGCTTTAGTTAATATGACCACCACCGTAGAGCACCCCAAATATGTCCTTAGCCTTACATTGGATGACATGTAATGTAGGATGCGGTCATCCTTACACGATAAGGTGTTAATCAGGTACGGGGCGCAAAGATGCGGGATTTCGAGGCCTCTATGTTGTGTCAATCCTTCTCTTAAATATTGTTCTCCCTACCAATAGTGCTGAAGTGGCATTCGCGTGAGCGCAGTGCTCCGAGATCATTTCGAACTCCATCCTCTCCGCCAAGACTTTCGTTAGTCAGGAGAACTTGAAATTGAGCTTGGAGGTTCTCATCGCCCAGGAAGGAGTTGCCCAAAGCAGAGGAGAGGATGCTTAAATTCGTCATCATAGATGCCTGCTTCGACCTGCAACTATGACACTGTGCAACGCTACGTCATCATCAGATAGCATCAACGACCTGGAAGCCTGTAAGTGGCTCACACCTCGTAAGGCAAAGGGCCATCTTTGAGGTCACCGAAGAAATCTCAGCCCCATTCTCCCATCCAGATGGTCTCTCGATCCCTTGGTCAAAGGATGTAAGAATCTGGAACAATCATAGTAGACTTTCCACGGCTGGTCCCACCTGACTTAGTTCGCTGGAATCTTGGCCAGTCATACTCTCAAGTATATCGATGCTTAGGGTTCGCAAGCCCAGATGATAGCTTCAAGAGCACAGCCACAGGTTCAAGGTCCTGAAGGCCTATCAGCGACACTTTGTGGCCAGTTCTGAGCTTTGGCTATTACCATTGTGCAGCGCATTTGGGTGTTGTTCGCCTTGAGTTGGAAATCTTTAGCTGCCATTATTAGGCGGATCTTAGTACTTAAGCAGAGAGATATAAGGTCCAGGTAGGGAAGTTCTCAATGGATCCTCAGGATCAGCTCAGGTGGAAGACTGCTCAGGCGGTCAGTCGGGAGTCGCGTCGCCGTTGCAATTGCTACAGAATCGCTGTAATTCGCCAGCAGGATCGTGTGATACTACTGTTCATGGAGAGCAGCAGATATTTGACCTTGAGGCAGTGCAAGGGGTTGGCGCGGTCTTCGATAATTATTCAATGGCCGTTAAGTAAGGCCACAGGCTCAGTTGGTCATTTTTTAGTGGGGGTGCTGTTTTTGTTTTACCACGGCAACAGCCCAATCATCATTAACATGACTTGCTCAACATACTACGTATTTCCCCCGCAGTCCATTCTTTGTGTTCTCATCCCCCCCATGGCTTTAGGATTAAACAATCAGAGCTAGTTGAAACATTGCCTACCTCTATCCTCAACAAGGAAGTGTGCTCATTCCGTCACACAGGGGATAATAACGCCCCACACAGAGTTCTCATTCATTTGAAATCAATTTACCGTGTCACATTCATTCATGTTTAAGCTCTAGATAGTGTTGAATACCAAGAATGATCGCCACAAGATTTTCAGTATCTGCGACCTGGTGAGTACCATCGCTTACCGCCGGGTAGACCAAAACGGTCCGAAGATCCCTGCCATTCATTACTACTTACTAGCCACAATTCTACTAACTAACCTTTTCAACACCTTTTCGAATTATCAACGAACCTTCCTCGCCATTTTTCTTCTACGATTACCTATTTTGCCCCCGAGCTTACTCTAGTAATGTCCACTATTGTGTGCACAGTGCAGCATTGTCCTTGAGGGAGAGCCAAATTCGAATAGGATACCATCACCTCTCTTTGTATTCAGATTTAATTGACCAAATGCATACCAAACTCACAGACCGATATCTGCTTGGTGCCTTGGCGATGCATTCGGATAGGGAATTCCAAGCAATGCCGCATGCGACAATCCTGGAGAGGTATTCGAATAAAGGTTGTATGATATGCAATCCCGAATCAGGGTAAGATACTATGCCGCATGCGGTACCTGAATCTGCGTTGAAAGGATGGCTGACCTATAAATTAAACCATACGGACTCTTAGCAACTCGGTTTAACGGACCTAAAAATTGCTAAGCTAGTTGTTTTTCCAGCAGAACCCTAGTATGTTAGAAAAAACGGAGAAATGGAAAGAGGCTCACTTGCCAACGGCATGGTAAATTGGACTCTTCGTCAACATTCCGTGGACTGAGCCGGCTGACGAACTCACAATAGGGACATGGAGCCTCCGATCGAGCACTCGGTTAAACTCATAGGACCGAACCGGTGGGCACTCGGACATAACTTTGTTTGCGAGCGTGCCCAAGGGGATGTCCAAGACGCGCTAGCAGTATGGGAGATCAAGGGAGAGGCCTACCACGTTCGGAAAGGAGATTTTGAAGCAGAATGGAAGGCAGGCTCGATTTTAGAACCTTTCCATCGTGCGGTAGGCCCGAGCGCGCTCCATTTACTGGGCGAAAATATGGTCTGCAAGATTGTGTCCATGATTCCGAATCAGCCATCTGAGATGGACATAAAGCGGTTTGTTCGGCAGATCGAGCCCGACATTCCGATACCCGATGATTATTTTTACCAATTCGACGAGGAGTGGGAACGGGCGTTCTTCATCATGGAGAGGATTCCCGGACCTACGTTGGCGGAAGTATGGAATGACATATCGCTTGCACAAATGGATCAGTTGGTGACAGAACTCCTGGGTCACGTACAGAAAATGCTAGAACATACAGCTCCTTTGTAAGTCGAATCCGAACATAATACTGTCAGCTGACCTTGCGGCGCAGACTCTCATCGCCAGGTGGGTATGGGGTATGCGACGGATGGTTGATGGGACCCCACCCCGAACAGGAGGGGCTGCCGCATTGGAAGCCTATAATTGCGTACCCGGTTTGTACTGCCAAGCAGCTTAGGTGTCATCTTGAAAAGATTGATTTTGCCAAGAAAAATCTAACGTGGGATCCTGCGTGGCAGCGCGACAACACGATCTTCAACTTTGGCCACTCCGACCTTACCCCTACGAATATCATAGTGGCCGACACGATAGCGTCCAAAGAGCACCGCGGTCCCCGGATCAAGTCCATCCTAGACTGGGAGTGTGGAGGCTATTATCCGCTCTGGTGGCTATGGTATAAGCCATCGTTCTGCTGGACTATGGACGTCCCGAAATTGCCAAGGCCCTATCCGCGTGATAAGCATCCCTGGATGTTTCGCAGCACGATGGCCGGATGCTTGAAATTATGGACCGATTTTGACGAATCAGAAAGAATAGTAAGGGAGCAAGAAAATGCTCTAGCTGCAGCCCGGGAGGAGGAGAAGTCTTCAGATCCGTCAGACCCGGAAGCGTTGCCGGATATCGGGTCCCTTCAATGCTAGGTTGGCGCTTATTACCTTGCAAGTCTGTTTGCGATACGTAGAATGATTTGAGACTTAGATATAATGCGCGAGTCTAGGTATATCGGCTATGAGGATATAATACGTTATCTCTCGCAGAGATCTGAAAATTAGGTCATCAGACTTTTTCGTAAAATTGACCTAAAAAACCGAAGGGACAGACAGCTACGGGCAAAGCATGATTCGCTAATAACAGCAAGGGCTCGGAGCGAGACTGAGTATAGGTGAAGCGAGACTGGGTCCCCCCGAGCAGCACCGAGACAAAAAGTGCGCAGGAGGGTGAGCAGCAGGAGCAGTGGCAGTGCGGCCTGAGCAGAGGCTGACCCGAAGTTGACCCGGGTGACTTATTTCTGAGTAAGGCAGGAAAAACGGCCAACCTAACTGGGGTGCCAAGATGCGGTCAAGATTTGGTGCAGGATAACGTAATATCGCTTGTCACTTGAATGAGGTACATAAGTTGCTAGGAGGTACTCCGTATGCGTATGCGTAGTACTAGTAGTATTCTAGTGGTATACTTAGCGCAATAATTCTGCTACAGCCTTGGCAATGAGATCAAAACTGAAATATGCTTAAATTTCACGGCGAATCTATTGCGCTAAATCACGGGAATACTATTCCTAACAAGGAGAGTACCTCTTCAGTGACACAGGGGATACCACGCTTCAACGCAGCCTTCCTACCACTTAACACTCAACACTCATGTCTTGAGTATGGAGCTTCTTTGCACGTGTATCAGAAACCAGAATTTTGAAACCAGTGACACATCTTACCGCCCACACGAATTGTATTTAGCCAAATTTCGGCCACGTACTGAATTTCGCAGATCTTGCAACGGTTTGCTCCAACATCATCTGTTTGCTATCAAGGGGCCTGCTGCATGTCTCTCGGAACCCAGCCGTTAACAGCTTGCTTCCGTTGCTCCAGCCCACGATAGGAAGAATAATTCTATATTTTCTTGCCATCTTGAGACTCCGACAGCGCGGTGCTTGTGAAATTGTACCATATATCATCTGATCAGTCTGCTGGTCGCCTGCTGTAGCCTGCTCACCCAGTTGCCTCGCCTACCTTGTACTTCACATTGCTTCTGTATTCACTCTCAGTTTGGAGTTACCGGTCGTTGGCCACCCCAACTATCTACACGTTACGCCCGTATCTCGTCGGCCTCCTACCGACGTCCTTACTAGCATTCAGCATGGATGTAAAAGATGTCTCGGAGATCGGGCCGTATTTCAAGCTCCTGGAGCAGCAAAAGAAGACCCTTCAAGCAGCGCAAAAACGCAAGGGTGAGCGTCCTAGGGATGAAAAGCCTCGTTCCAAAATCATTGATGATCATATGATGCAATCAATGACTTTGCATATGAGGGAGCTTAGCCCATCAAGCAAGGACAACCACATGATACATTCGTCTTTTCTTGCGCGTCCATACACGCCATCTGTTGCTCCTTTCAAAGCTCTCAAGAAAATGCCCCTTAGAGACCTGCGACTAGAGACACACCATCGAGGTCTGTACGTCTTACTCCGAGTGGTCACACCTCCCACTAGAATGACGGCAATCATGGCTGTCATGGAGGATGAAGCGGATCAAGCTGTGATGGTTCAACTCTACCAACAAGAAGAAGAGAAATACCGTCCTGCACGAGTTAGCGTTAGAAAAAATGGTGTGTGCATCGTCAAGGAACCATACTTCAAGGTAATGGGTGACGGAGGCTATGGCTTGCGTATCGACCATGTCGGCGATCTCATCTGGCTTTCAGAGACCGACGACAGGGTTCCATTGCAATGGCGACCTCGGATCAGCCAGCTTGACAAGACAGCTGATGAATGGAAATGTGAGGGTAACAGTGCTCTTAAGTCCGGAGATTTCTTTGACGCAGCGGAGAAGCAAGTCTTATGCTCTTTAATAATGCCCCTTTGCTCACGCACATTTAGGTACACATTAGCCCTCCAGTGTCCCACTACCTCCGAAGAAGCCCGGATTATCAAGATGAATCGAGCTCTTGCCAATTTGAAGCTTCGGCACTACGACGCAGCGCTTCTGGATGCTGGCTGCGGCCCGCCGGATGTCAAGCCGCTTGAAAAGGGGCTGTATCGTGCTGCGCGAGCTTTATACGAGCTGGGCAGATTCCAAGATTGCTACGACACTCTTAACGTCCTCTTGAAAGAGTATCCTGGGAACGAGGAGGGAAGGAAAGAATTGTCTCGAGTCAAGAATCGCCTAACAGAGCAGAAGCACGGACGTTACGACTTCAAGGCCATATATGCGGCCACCAAAACCAGACCGTTGTATCTTGACCACGCGACATACATTGGACCAGTGGTGGTCAAACCGGCCGAGGGACGGGGCCGGGGTTTGTTTACTACCAGAGCTGTGAAGGCCGGCGAGCTTCTCCTTTGTGAGAAAGCCTTCTCACAGTGCTACGCCGGTCTCGGTAGTAGCTCTGAATCGTCGTCATCCAAGATCAGTCTGCTCATCAACACCCACACGAATCGCATGGTGGTGGGAACCCATGGGGACCTCATCACTAAGATTGTGCAGCAGCTTTGGCGTAATCCTTCGCTCGCTCCAGCATTCACCTCCCTCCACCACGGCTCCTACAATCCTGTCCAGGTCGCCTACGTGGATGACGTGCCAGTTGTTGACACGTATGTAATAACCCTGCATGTTACCCTGGGAGATATTCCTAATCAGTATTAACCACACATTATCATACACAGATTTCTCGTCGATCGGATCATTTCCTTGAATGCCTTCGGCTTCCCTCTGACCTCCCTGAGCTCCCACTTGGACAAGGGTTCTCCAGACGACGAGCAAAAAGGGAAGAATTACCACTCGTGCGGCATCTGGGTGCAAGCATCTTACATCAACCACAGCTGCTACAGCAACGTGCGACGCAGCTTCATCGGCGACATGCAGATCATCGCGCCATACGGGATATCCCAGCCGACACGGAGCTGACATTCTGGTACCATGTCCCCAACACCGAGGGTTACGACAAGACACAGGAGAAGCTGCAAAATTGGGGCTTCCAATGCACGTGCGTCATGTGCACCGAAGAGAAGAATACGCCAAAGAACACTATCAAGAAGAGGGAAGGCTTGCTGGGCGACCTCAAAGCCGCCTTCACGGCTCCAAGTGGCGCTCAGCTACCGAAGGTCGAAAGACTGCTGACAGCCCTGGAAAAAACATACCAAGCTAGTGCCGCACGAGTACCCCGTCTGGCGCTGTGGGACCCGTACCTTCTCCTCACGCGCACGTACGCGGCTCAAAACCAGCTGGAAAAAGTCATCGCCACCACGCTGAAGGTTCTGGCGTGTTTGGGCTTCGTCATCAAAGGGGCGGAAATGACGCCTTCAGCGAAATCTACCCGTTCCACCCTTGCGGACGCCGCGTTCGTCGTCGAGCAGTGGGGACTGGCAAACGACTTTGTCGTTGAGGCTTGGGTCCATCTATGGATGGCGTACAGGCATGTGGCGCCTCAGCTGTGCGGGCAGGCGGAGGAGTGCGCGAGAACGGCGTACCGGATTTGCGTGGGGGAGGACGTCACTTTTGATCAACACTACCCCTGAAGCACGAGGCGCTGAAGATTTCCGCCACTCAAATCTGTTCTACTTTGCTAATGATTTCTCACTAGTCCACAGAAGAGATCATGGGTTGCGTACGGAAGTATGAATATGAGTCCGCACTCCTTTGTGATTGGGAATCTCACACAGTTGTTGGCTCAATTGGTATGTCGATTGCGCTATCAAAAAGCGTTGATGTTTGGCCTATTCCTACTCAGCAGGGAGAGTCCCTCTAAAAGTCATGTCTACATAGTAGACTCCCATCAATCCGTCTTAGTTTAAGCTTAACCGTAATATGATCTAGTTTTAACAAGAGGATCAGAATACTTGGTGTCCCTGTTAGTTCGGCTATGAGCGCGACAGCAACGAAATAGCATCAGTTACATGACATCTTGTAGAGCAGCATCGACTGCATAGCTCTAAGGGAGAATTGTAAACAGAACCGGATGCTGAGTGACGGGAGGCAACATATGAGACAATGGTAGAGTACACGGAGTTGGGGCACGGCGATAGATGGTTTGAGAATGGTAGAACTGTGGAAGCGCTTGATGCATACCCCCAAATCCGAGGATGGACATGTTTTTCAGACCCCTAATCTCGGCCCTGCAAGACCAATATGTACAGCGAGGTCCGGCTTCGATTGGGACGTCTCGGTCGTCATGCTTCCCTGATGATATATTTCATGCCTTCGCCTTCGCCTTGGCCTCTTCGTCCTGCACACTCTTCAAGAAGTCCCTGGATATATGTCAGCAGCTCATCCGATAAGCTCGGGAAGGAGCACTGTATACTGAATAAAGGTTTCTTCGTCTTTGCTGGAAGCATTGATGGGTGGTCCCTGGGCTGTTTTCTTCTCTCCTCCCCTCATTGCGAGGTACGAACTGCCAAACATTGCACCCAGCGTCGCCATGGCAAGCTATGATAAGCTGTCAGCAGCTTGATTGTCTAGCTCGAAGAGATGGGAAGGCGTACATAATGTGACCCAACCTGCCGCCCGAAGACCGTATACATAGCAACCATCTTGACGAGAGAAGACTTTTAACGTAGATAGAAGCTGAAGGTATAGCACGGGGAACAGCGTTGAATGGTTGTTGTTATTTTATCATGCGTGGAGGCAAAGGGTTAAGCTGCGGTGCACTAAGGACAGCAGACGGTCTACTACGTACTAACTAACTAGTATGTAGCAGAGCTTCAATGGGGGCCGGTAGGGTTAATCACGCTAACTAACTAAATATGTAACTTAGTTAAGATTCGGAGCCAGCCTCCAAACCATCTGCTCTTACGTCAATTGGTGAGGACAGCCACTGCATGTCATCTGTACCGCAGTTGATCCAGGCCTTGCTGTCTGTCAACCAGACCGCCGACCACGATGGCGTGGGGAAAGAATGACGAGAATGTTCCGCGGCAGAGAACAGAGGAAAGGCCATCCTCGTTGTCAGAACCATTGCCACGTGGGAAGCTTCCCCAGGATCTTCAGAAGATTGTGGACCGGGAAGATGACTTCTTTGATTCACTTTATGAGGGCCAGTATGTGCAGTTGTGAAGCCTGTGTTGCCAAATGCACGCGCACGCTGACTGCTGCAGGACTGCCGACTCGACCGATACCAACTATCGATATGCCGCCTACGCCAGTCGCGCGCGAACCATTCTACTGAGTGCCCATCGTTACGTTGCCTACACCTCGGACATTGGAGAGTCGTTCAGACCTGTCGCGCATCCGTGGCTGGTGAGGGGCGCATATGGCATATCATGGGCATATTTGATTGGAGATGTGACCCACGAGGGCTACAAGGCATATTGCCGAAATCAGCAACTACTTCATCCCAGTCCCGAAGTTGTCAAGCAGGCCACTGGTACGAAATCGAATGTGACACCTGACACGGTTTCGGCCATGAGCAAGAACGTACACATCCCGGCCATAGAGGATTGGCGAGCAGTGATGGTGCAAAGAGCAGTCTTCCAGAGCATCGCGAGTATGGGCCTTCCTGCCTTCACAATACACAGCATTGTGCGATATTCCGGTCGAGCTATGAAGGATGTCAAGAATGCCAGGCTGAGGACTTGGGGTCCAATAGGTGTATGGCCGCACATCCAGTCCATGTGTCTCCCTTACTGACCGCCTCCCAGCTTGGCCTTGCAGCTGTCCCGGCCTTACCCTACATGTTTGACGAACCCGTGGAAAAGGCTACGGACTGGCTGTTTTACAATGCTTTCAAAGCGATTGGGGGTGAGCAGGCTGCAGGTGAGCCGAAGCACGGACACGGCCACGGACACGTCCAAAGAGGGAGCCTGAAGACGTCGAACGAGGCGAAGAAAGAATTGTGAAGGAAGTGAAGTTGATGCTTCACTCACGAAATTGTACATAGCACAACATGGTCATGGTGCAGCATTATGCTCAGTCCAAGTCCAGTCCATTTCAAGTCCAACAAGTCCAACAACTTGAAGCTGGCTGGTCATTTTCTTGATCCCCGACGCGCCAAGAATCCTCGGCTGAGGAATTTTCTTTGACGCGCCGATCTCGCATCCAGAAGTCTCAGCCTCTCAATTCCTCAGCAAGCGACAATCCTTCCCATAATCACTTCATGTGCTGGATTCTTCGCTTCTTCTCTTCTATCGAGTCGATTCGAGAAGCATGATTCTCTTGGGGTTGCTGTGCGAAGATGCCATTTGGAGAAGATATGACGGCACACAATACCTTGAACTCTCGAACTGTCAATTCAATTGTCTCAGTACGGGATCAAGCTGCGGTTCTTTCGCCTGCTCAACCCACGACTACCACCAAAGCGGAAGTTGTCTCGAATTGGAGTACGACAAACATTGGCTTGAGGCTGGGTGCTGATGCCACCTCTGCATCTTGTGCCGCAATCACATTTGCTCCCATCGTGACCATCATTGATCGGCACGTAGCTATACCACCCTGTCTCAATTGAAGTTCTAACCAGCACCCAGCTCAATCGTCCACAAAGCATCTACAGGCACATCGTTCCGCAATGCGTTCTTGCACTCCCTCCAGCCGCTACTCAAAGCGCCTCACCACTTCCTCGTCTCAAGGCCCTTCCTCCTAATCTTCGGCCTCTATTCATCCACTTACTTCACCGCAAACGCAATCGACACCATCACCTCCACCCTGTGCGCCCAATCTTCCACAACTGTGACCACCGGCCCCACGAAATTCCTCGCCACATCCGCCGTCAACATGACCCTCTGCGTCTACAAAGACAGCCACTTCGCCCGCATGTTCAGCACCGCCGCCGCTGCCACCGCAGCCGCCACCGGCTCCAACCCCGCCACATGCACAATCCCCAAGATAAGCTACCTCCTCTTCTCCCTCCGCGACTCCCTCACCATCTTCGCATCCTTCAACCTGCCGCCTCTCATCGCACCCCACCTCGGCCCTCTCTCCGCTCACCTCCCCTCCCTCTTCGCCCCGCTCCTCTCTACGCCCTCGTCCCGGACCAACACCGCGCAATTCCTGGCGCCGGCACTGATGCAGCTCGTCAGCACGCCCCTCCACCTCCTCGGCCTGGACATGTTCAACCGGCAGCGAAGGCTGGGCTCCCAGCAGAGGTGGAGCAGGGTGAGGAGGGACTGGGCCGTCAGCGCCCTGGCGAGGATGGGGAGGATCGTGCCGGCGTTCGGGGTGGGCGGCGTGGTCAATGCGGCGGCGCGGAGGGGGTTGATGCGCAAGATTGAGGCGTGACTGCAGCGGGTGACTGGCTAGGGCGTCGGGATTTGAATGGTTGGGAAAAGATTTAGCGATGGTGTTGGGCGTTTTACCCGGCGCTAGATGGGGCACCAGGTGTTGGATGGTCCGCGTTTGGTGTTTCGCTTCGATGCATGGCGACGGAGTTCGCGTACAAGGCTGTGGTCATAAAAGGTGCCTTATCGATCAACAGGCCGGCTGAGAAAAATAATAAGAATAAACATAGGAATAAGAATAAGAATAACAATCATAATCATAATAATCGTACACACCAGATAGTGAACTTGCAGTGCAACCTGAGCTGACAGGCACGACATGTACTGGCGTTGACATTTTCTTACTGACGGTTTCACATCGACTCCTGTTTAAGCGTGGTAGATTGGGACCATGATTACTGAAGATGTACAAACCAAGTCTCCCCCAGAATGCTCCCCGAACCTGTAGCCAGCAAAGACATCTACTCAGGCGACCCATATCCGTAACTACTGTCCAACACCATTCGTCCTAACCGGTGCATGGCAGTGCTACGCTGGAAAACAAAGCCAAGAATGATTGCCCAGCGACAAGGCCAACGAGGACGGATTCACTCGTACGTGCCCGCGCGAAACAGACTCCCAAGATACGAAGTCCATTTCCAAGCGCGTACGCGCTCCCGCTTCGTCTTCCTAGCCACCACCCGCATCTCCACCTCCTCGCGCCCACCATACAGCAACTCGGCGTCGATGAGCCAGTGAAAGAGCGCACTGCCACATCGGCTGGCGATGCCGAACTCGTCGAGGCCGATGAGCTGCACGTCGATGCCGGCGAGATATCTGACATGGAAGACGAAGCCCTGGTCGCGCAGGCCCTGTGCGGTATCCGGGTCCCACATCTTGGCGTAGTCGAGGATGTGGCGGTGG